TGTCAGCAGTTTAGGTATATGTGCATGGTTGGAGATGGGAAAAATTATTACAGAGTATTTTACCTGTGCTATGATGTGAATATAATGTATATGTTGGAGAAGTGTTGTGAGTCATGTCGGGGAAAATTTTAATTTATTTCATTGTGTGTATGATGAACTTATTGGATGATTTTTTAGTTGTACACATATGGTGGGTGCATCCTCCAGGTCCTTGCACTAATGGAACCATTGCAATGATGCATATGGGGACATATGCGTGTTTAAGGAGGGGAGTGGTGTTGTAATCCACAAGTTAGTAGGAATTATTAGCTAGAGGATCATTACTACAACACTTAACGAATGATGATTGGAAGTACATGTAAGTAGACAGACTATGGATCACATATCTAAGAAAGGTCAATGGATTAAGACCGAAGCTGTTTAGCCAAATGATTAATTCCTGGAAAGAGGAATTATTCTTCGTCAGGCTTCTAGGAACAAGATTACCTCTCTAGGGATAAGGTTAATCGGATTATACCTTCCTTGAGAGGTGGGGTGAAATGGTTGAGGTAGATGGCTGACTGGAGTCAGTCTGGTTGTGGAAGTGGAACTAGCAAGTCCTCGGAGGTCTCCGGTTGTGGCAGCAGCGAAGTGTAGCAGACAGCTATGCGAGAGCCTGTTGTGATCTTAGTGACCAAGTTAAGTCTGCAGTATGTGAGTATTGAATGTAAGACTAACCGGGTGTGGAGCGTTGTAGTAATCATTCCGTATTAGGGACTTAGGCGGAAGTTACGAGTGTGGGTGGTGATCGCGGAGGTCAAGTGGTCTATGGGTATTGGAAGTGTATTGACCTAATAGAGTATGTTAATTAATATTGTATTATTTGTCAGAGTCTATTCTTTGTAATTAAATGACAAAATCCGACGGCCTTTAAATACCTTCCGTATGTTCATTCATTGTGTTCCAGTACAAACCTAGTGGTACGCCTCAAGGGTCTGGTGTGTGTAGGAGTACACGGTGGTAGTAACGGTTGCTGAGGCAAGGTGTTATGTGTTGTGTAATCGCTGTGTTCGGAATGAACCGGGGTTCAGCGTCACGACAATAGCTTGATCCTGGATGACAATGGCACCATGAACACGTACGCAACAGGGCCCTTTTGATGCCTACGTGACTTTGTACATGATCTCTCAAGGATCCAGAAGCTTCTAGAAGGATTTGTTAATTAAAAAACTATTGGAACATTTATTCAACATCCGGTAGGGATAATATCGAATCCTTAATAAGATTCAGTGGTGCTATCAAATACTACTTATAATCTTTAAATCTTATATCTAATTATATTATAATCACATCTTATTTCAATAATAAGTCTAGACTGTAAAAATAATCAATCAATATTCATTGAAAGCTACCTCTCAAGGGAGAGGGGGGAGGATCTCGTGGGGCGAGAAGCGCCCACGACGATGCCTCGAGGCACTACGCGTTTGTTTACAACTGAGTGAACAAGTGACTGATCCTTAGCGAACATTACCAGCTCAAGGACACCTTATCTAATATATTTTATCGCCAGTGAACACTTTCTAGAACTGGGGGAGTACCTGGACAATATCTACAAGGAAAATCCTAGAACATTTATATAAAATCTCTATAAAACAGTCTCCGTGGTGTAGTGGTAAGACACTCGCTTGGCGTTCCGCGAGCGCTATGTCATGGGTTCGTATCCTGGCCGGGGAGGATTTACTGGGCGCAATTCCTTAACTGTAGCCTCTGTTTAACGCAACAGTAAAATATGTACTTGGATGAAAAAACGATTCTTCGCGGCAGGGGATCGTATTCCAGGGACCTGTCCGAAACGCTACGCGTACTAGTGGCTGTACATGAATGTAACAACTCTTGTATATATCTCAAAAAAAAAAAAAAAAAAAAAAAAAAAAAAAAAAAAAAAAAAAAAAAAAAAAAGTGTTTAGTGGAGATCACAGTGACGCGGTTTCCACCACCTTCATTCCTATTCTTTATCTCCAATCATTCTTCTGCAACTGCAGGATAATCACGTAGCAACGCTTCCAGATCATCATACAGCAACGCTGTAGCAAAATATCGTTCCTAAACTCAACAAGAGAGAGTTAATCAGTCTGGCAAACTTGTCAGACAGGCACCCCGACTGGCAGAGAAGTATATTGAAGGTTATTTGGTATATGATTGGCCAATTGTATGCTTGTGTAGCTTTAATATCCTATAAATCTGTCTGTTGGTTAAAAAGCGAGGCTAAGCCTCACATATCAGTAAGTTTATTAAAATTGTAGTGTAGCTGTGAATCTTATCCAAGCACTGAACTTCATGAGTGTCCATTGTGTCAGAAAGAATTCAGCCTCAATAAGTAAGAACCTCACAAGTGTTCATAGTGTTGGAAGAGATTCACTCAAGCTAACTGTATCATTAAAATGAATAAATACATTGCATATATACTTGAATATATAAATTAAGTTATCAATTGCTTGCTTAGTTATTTTTTAAGTTATCATATAAGTTCATTTAATTGAATATAATCTAGTACTTAGTTAACAGTATTTAGACTACATTTAAGTTCATTTATCATACTTTTACAATTTAATTTGTTGTTTATAGTATAAGTACATATTGGCTGTTAATAGTTATGGTGCTGGGTTAGACTATGTATGTTTAAATCCCTGATTTAAACAGAGCCAGTGTTCAGTCATATAACTGAATTTATTAAATCTTATCCTTGCATAAAATACAAGCTGATGTGAGATCCCTGTCTACAGGTGGATTGGAACTTCTATCAACAAGTCATTCACCCCACCTGTCCCTTACAGCCCACAGTCTGTCATTAGGAAAAGAGGAACTAGGATTTACAACCCTAGCTAGAGATTTTAATTGAATTAATTTGCAGAGAGTAAATTTTTAATTTAGTTCAGTATAAGTCCCTGGTAGTCTCCTCTTATATCAATCCCAGCAGGTTTTTCCCACAATACTAGAACATCATCAACAGGAACCATAGTGGAAAGGGACTCAAAATTCAAGCTTAACAACTTTCCATTACTACAGTCTAAATGTTGATTTTTACTAATATGTCTTGCGAGTGCTTAATGTGTGAGTCAGAGAAGACACCCATGAAAGGGGACACATATGCCAGAGGAGACACCCCATGAAAGGGGACACCCATACCAGAGAAGACACCCATGAAAGGGGACACATATGCCAGAGGAGACACCCCATGAAAGGGGACACCTATACCAGAGAAGACACCCATGAAAGGGGACACATATGCCAGAGGAGACACCCCATGAAAGGGTACACCTATACCAGAGAAGACACCCATGAAAGGGGACACATATGCCAGAGGAGACACCCATGAAAGGGGACACCTATACCAGAGAAGACACCCATGAAAGGGGACACATATGCCAGAGGAGACACCCCATGAAAGGGGACACCTATACCAGAGAAGACACCCATGAAAGGGGACACATATGCCAGAGGAGACACCCCATGAAAGGGGACACCTATACCAGAGAAGACACCCATGAAAGGGGACACCTATACCAGAGAAGACACCCATGAAAGGGGACACCTATACCAGAAAAGACACCCATGAAAGGGGACACCCATACCAGAGAAGACACCCATGAAAGGGGACACATATGCCACAGGAGACACCCATGAAAGGGGACACCTATACCAGAGGAGACACCCATGAAAGGGGACACCCATACCAGAGAAGACACCCATGAAAGGGGACACCCATACCAGAGAAGACACCCATGAAAGGGGACACCCATACCAGAGAATACACCCATGAAAGGGGACACCCATACCAGAGAATGCACCCATGAAAGGGGACACCCATACCAGAGAAGACACCCATGAAAGGGGACACATATACCAGAGAAGACACCCATGAAAGGGGACACCCATACCAGAGAAGACACCCATAAAAGGGGACACCCATACCAGAGAAGACACCCATGAAAGGGGACACCCATACCAGAGAAGACACCCATGAAAGGGGACACCCATACCAGAGAAGACACCCATGAAAGGGGACACCCATACCAGAGAAGACACCCATGAAAGGGGACACCCATACCAGAGAAGACACCCATGAAAAGGGACACCCATACCAGAGAATACACCCATGAAAGGGGACACCCATACCAGAGAAGACACCCATAAAAGGGGACACCCATACCAGAGAAGACACCCATGAAAGGGGACACCCATACCAGAGAAGACACCCATGAAAGGGGACACCCATACCAGAGAATACACCCATGAAAGGGGACACCCATACCAGAGAAGACACCCATGAAAGGGGACACCCATACCAGAGAAGACACCCATGAAAAGGGACACCCATACCAGAGAATACACCCATGAAAGGGGACACCCATACCAGAGAATACACCCATGAAAGGGGACACCCATGAAAGGGGACACCCATACCAGAGAAGACACCCATGAAAGTGGACACCCATACCAGAGAAGACACCCATGAAAGGGGACACCCATACCAGAGAAGACACCCATGAAAAGGGACACCCATACCAGAGAAGACACCCATTCTTCTCAGCCATTTCATTAACTTGTAGGAATAGGAACCTCTACTCGAAATTATGGGACGTAAAGGAATATGAACCACATAGGTTACGGGTAGGCCAAAGACATATGGTCAGCTGGGGTTACTGACCTTAAGGGGGGGAGTATTTCGTTTTTTTAAATGTTTTATCATTAATCATTTAACTCATTTATTCATAAAAAAATGTTTTTTTAATCATTCTAGGACCTGGATTAATTCTTTATTCTTACCAATGTTTCTGACGTTTTTTTTTATTGAATTTTGAAGCAACTGATACGAGTGGATCTTTAGTAAGCTTCTCATAAGTATCTGTGTGATAGTAATACCTTTACTTTCCCCCAGTAAACTGCTTAGTTGAGAATTACTATTTTAACCCCTTTATCGGATTTGGCAACTATAAATTTATCATTTTGAGATTTAATAGTGCTAACTGGTATCGTTTGGGAACACCAACATTATCAGCAAAGCATTCATCGATTGCTAGCAACATCGTGCCTTTCAGACCTTAAGGAGATCCTTATCATAATTATTGTTTCTCAGGAAGCTGTCAAAGACCACGATGTTAGCCAACACATTATTCCTCTTATTCTTCATAATGAAATTAGGACCCAATCCTTGTATGTAGGTTCGTGTTTGGTCAGCACTGTGTCACAGTCAAAACATTCTCTTTAAGTGAGAATTTTGACCAAATACTGTTGTTAAGGAGACAATTGAGTTAGTCATTTAATTATTCTTTATGTCCCCAGCATGTGCGGCAAACACCCTTATGCGCAAAAACTAATGTTTTTTTGGGCATGACAGTGTTAACCTCATGTTCGCAAAAACTGGACTCCACCTGCAGCCCTCTGAGGCCTGAGCCTGGGAACAGAAGAGAGGAGAAAGGGGAGTGAAGGGAGAGGAGTGAAGAGAGAGGAGTGAAGGGAGAAGGGTGATGAGAGGGGGGTTAAGTGGTGAGGCAAGTGGCGAGAAATACGCTCCCTGAGCCGAACCGAAAACTCTTGACCTTTGAAGAATTCGAACCCGGACAGCCTGGGTCTGCATGCCCCCAACATTCTAGTGCAGTAACTACTCCGCCAGCAACTGTCTAAATATATGTACCCAACACCCGACAACACTCGTGGCATTATTGGCCACAGATATTTCAACAAATCACTACAACATGCTGGGGCCACATGAGCATATATTGTGCGTAGAGCTTCATTGGTCCCCAAGCCAATATACACACGAAAATATAACCGACGGTCTGGTAAACTAACCAGGCCATCACCAGAGATATACTCACTAACAACACAATAATCGACAGATACAGAGACAACAGAGGAGTGGACATGAGCGAGGACTTATACATAAAGCAAAGCAAGCCACGCATCGTCAGCCAAATGCCACCAGATAACACTCTGGTGTTATAACACACAGCACCAGCCATCATGCCAACACCAGAGTGGCAAGATACAGTGCTTCTGTAAGTGTGGTGCTTCTTCACCTCATGCCATTGACCTCATCACCTTCACCTCATCCTCGGGTTCATATTATGCACCTAAACAATTTGTAATCATCCAGCACTACATCATCAGAGATCACACCATCCATCCACCACACACATTAGTCATAGCAGAGAGCCTGAAACCTTCCAACAAAACATCCATTGTCACTGCGACCCGTAGAGTCACAGAGTCCATTGTCACTGCGACCCGTAGAGTCACAGAGAGTCCATTGTCACTGCGACCCGTAGAGTCACAGAGAGTCCATTGTCACTGAGACCCGTAGAGTCACAGAGAGTCCATTGTCACTGCGACCCGTAGAGTCACAGAGAGTCTATTGTCACTGCGACCCGTAGAGTCACAGAGAGTCCATTGCCACTGCGACCCGTAGAGTCACAGACAGGACTCAACGTGTAAAAAGTTAGGGCAACTCCCCCGCCCTAAACGGTCATGCTTTTGGAAAAAACGACATTCTGAATATCCTCAAGGACGGGGCCGGCATCACACCCAATGACATTTATCAGGAAGGTGGTGATATCTTCAGGAAGAAGCTCTTCTTCATAAGTATGGAGGACCTAGAAAAACTCTTGGGCTACGATTTCCCGCTTCGCAAGGACCACCACTTGTATCTCAACTACCTACGTCAGCTCCTAGCCGAAAGATCACTTTTTATGAGCAGGACCAGCCCATGGATAACTGACCGCACAGAGAGTGAGATCAGTACGAATATTGAGGATGAAAACCCGAACGTGGGCGTGTTCGCCATTGTGTTCTGCAGTGACGATTAAGCCACAACGAAGTCAATTTTCACCTCAGCAGCTAAGGCCGCTTAAGCTGCTACTCAAGGCTTCTACTGCTTCGGCATCAAGATACCACGCCACCAAATGAAATAGGAACGTTATCACGAGCACCATCAGTGCTTCATGTGCTACGACCTCTCCCACCCCACCAACAAGTGTCAGCACTCCGTCCAGAAGTTCAGCTTCTGCACCCGTCACCATCATTACACCATGTGTAAATCAGCAACCCATCGCTGCCTTCTTTGCAATAGCGATTACCTTGCAATTTCACACCGCTGCCCCAGCAGACAGGACAAAACCAAGTCCCAGGTTGAAACCAAGAAAACCAACCCTCCTAACCCGGCCACCAGAGTCCCTGACGCTGTACCCATCACCTCAGCTCTCACCAACCAACCAGAAGACTTCTCAGTCTTACCAAACACTGGTTCCTCCCACCAGTCAACCCAGCCTGGTTGGGGGTAGCTGGTGGTTCCCGGGTGCCCTCTCCTCGTCCTTCCCACCCTTCCCCTCTCTCTCTCTCTTTCTCCCACCCCCAGCCGTCTAGTCCCTCTTTCCATCACCCTATTCTTAGCCACTCTTAAATTGCATAAAATATATTTTTAGGTCGCAATGAGACCATTGTATGGGTCTTAAGGAAATAGATTTTCTGATGATAAAAACTCTTCGGGAAAAAATCAGAGGTCAACAGTTTTCGGTTCTGAAAATATTTCGAATCAATATTTCACACCTGACGAGAATTGAATTCGCGAGAATCTCAAGGAAGGGTGTCAATAAGTATAAATATTTCTTAAATAACTTAACGTAGGCCTACCATGACCTGCCAGTGTTCGTCCCGTACCCCAGACCATTTCCCCTGCAGATTTTGGTGAGTCAAGCCCCAGGCGTCTGGTCTTTAACTTTGGCTAAACAGATGGACAGTCAGACATTCTTATAGTATAAATATGTTTGATATCTAGATTGATGCTCAGCAATTCATCTCTCAATTGCAATACTTTCTTCAGAAATGCCAAGTTTACATGCCTAATTATTCCTTCTAAACTGAATATATATAAAAATAAAACCTGTTGCACAATTAATACACATCCATCACTTACAAGTTTTCACCACCTGTGATAATATTCACAAAATATATATCATTTGTTCCCCGTATCAATAGTTATTGTATAATAGTTTGTGTTTGTAACGTGAATCATATAATAACATCGACCTCCTCTGCCCTGAAACGATGCCATCAGGCAGATCAACCCAGGCTTACACTTCAATTACCTCTGCTTCGGTTCTCAATTCTATTGTCAACAATTCTGCATGGCAATTGGGTCTCGAATTAATACTGTGCAATGGTAATTTATTCATGGATTCTCTTGATGCAACACCATCCCAACATTGTGAAATGTTGGGATGTGTTCGACCACGATGTCTGTACGAACAACACCGAATGATGGTGCTTAGATTCCATGTAAAATAAAAGACGACTTCATTTATTTATCCCGAAGAAACTACTTTTTTTTGAGATATATACAAGAGTTGTTACATTCTTGTACAGCCACTAGTACGCGTAGCGTTTCGGGCAAGTCCTTAATCCTATGGTCCCTGGAATACGATCCCCTGCCGCGAAGAATCGTTTTTTCATCCAAGTACACATTTTACTGTTGCGTTAAACAGAGGCTACAGTTAAGGAATTGCGCCCAGTAAATCCTCCCCGGCCAGGATACGAACCCATGACATAGCGCTCGCGGAACGCCAGTTTTCTAATGACTACTACTAATGACATTAGAGATCTATTAGATACCTGGTGAAGAATTTTACCTTCACTTTACCCTCACCCGGCTAGCACCACGACTCTCACACCAGAGTGTAAAGATTCGTCCCTCAGGACCCCCAACACCTGCTCCCAAAGAGTGCTTAAAACAAGTGCCTCGTTCCTAATTACATCCTTAAGCATAAATACTCTATATACAAATGTTGAGAACACAGAAAACCAATAAGAAAATGTCCCAAAGTGACTGTGTCACAGTAACGCCTGGCATGCCTGTAACACCCACAGTGACTGTTTCACAGTAACACCTGGCATGCCTGTAACACCCACAGTGACTGTTTCACAGTAACGCCTGGCATGCCTGTAACACCCCACAGTGACTGTTTCACAGTAACGCCTGGCATGCCTGTAACACCCCACAGTGACTGTTTCACAGTAACGCCTGGCATGCCTGTAACACCCCACAGTGACTGTTTCACACACAGTAACAGGAGTAACCTCAGAGACTCTAATGACACCAAACTCGTCATGAAAGTCCAACATGACAACAGACGGCCCAGTAGACTCCAGGACCACTACACATACTTCAAAAGCGCTCGGTCTTTGGGCGTCATGATGGTCAAGTCCAATAGACTCGGCCCCAAATTAGACGGCCCATGTAGATGGGTCTTTTTACGCTGCCAACACAGAAGAGTCTGATAACTTCACAGTTCCTGGAGAGCCAGATGGTAATACTTGTATCCTCTGCCATATCAACGTGCAATGTAAAGAGCAAGGTAATTATCAGCAGTTTGCGCCAAGACATTACAACTATATATAGCACTTGGAAAGGATTAGAATAAGGATTTGGGATGGGACGGGGGAGGGGAAGTGGTGGTGCTTAACCACCTGGACGGTTGGGGATTGAACGCCGACCTGCATGTAGCGAGACCGTCGCTAAATCGTCCAGCCCAAGTGGTTGAACAATGTAAAGTTGTCGCTCTCGACTCAACAACACGTCTGCAGATGTGTGAGGAGATGTGCCAGCAGACACATCCCACCTTGTTACTCGTGACGCTAAGCTCGTGGAGATGGCCACTTCAGTACCGATTTGTCTCGTCAAGATATATTTCCAAATTTGCTTAATGCGTTCATGTGAACTAAAATTTACATAATCATGATGTAGTAACAACTTTAGCTTTCTGTCAGAGGATGGGGAAGCAAGGCCTCATGTTGATAATTTACTGAGCATTGCTCAGCAGAAAAATATCTACTGTCATCACTAGATATTTACATAGTTATTATGAATTATGCAAATAAGCTGTGAAATGGAATAATGTCCTCCCCGATTTGTTTCCTAAACTTGGTGCTGTTGTTAGTGTCATATTACTTGCCATGTGTGTTGCTGCCTTGTTGAATTAGTGACGGTAGAGCTGACTGCCATATACTAAGGTCAAGGCTTTCTGTTATGCTGGTGATCTTCGACTTGCACCCACCAAAGATGATATCGAAAACCTTATAAAAATATGTGAAAGATATCGTGCAGAATATAGTATATCGGTCAATCCTGCCAATTGTGCCAGAGTGGTTTTATCTCGCAGAACTCCTTTTCTCCTGATCCCAAACTGAAATTAGTTGGCAAAAATTCCTGTAAAGTTTTCTGAAAAGCATCTGGTGTATAATGTTTCCTCAAAGGGCCCGCTTGTTAATTTTTCTGATGCCATTAGAGATTTGAAAGTCGTAACAAAGGTCATTATGAGAGAATTTGGTATCTTGAGTCCTTGTCGAAAATAAAGTTATTGAACAAAGTCTAAGCCTGTATTGAACCTGTATCTATAGAACCTACAAGATGCTAACTTTGTTAAGCCAAATAGTTAATGCAGGACACGTTCTATAAAAATCTTGGAAGTCCATCATCGCCCTCATAGCAGCATCATACTTGGCATCATATCCCTGACTATATTTGAGAAAATAGTTCACAAACTAATTAAATCTTTTTGTCTGAATGAAATCCCTCATTCAGGTAACTCAACGTTTTTTCAGACACTCACTTGTCACCGGCCACTCCAACTTTTCCATAAATGTAAACTTAATTGGTAGTTAATGCAATATAAGAGTAAGTGATGTACATAATGGTGCAGCAGATATACAGGAAGGAATAACAGAACTAGTGAGCAGAGAAAGCAGGGAGATCCTCTACTGGTTATATGGAATAATGCAGGAACTTAAAACGATTCTTCGCGGCAGGGGATCGTATTCCAGGGACCATAGGATTAAGGACTTGCCCGAAACGCTACGCGTACTAGTGGCTGTACAAGAATGTAACAACTCTTGTATATATCTCAAAAAAAAAAAAAAAAAAAAAAAAAAAAAAAAAACTACTCTTCAAGAAGATGGCTAACTATCAGGTACTCTGAGTTTTACTGAAGTCAGATCTACATTGCATGAGCTCTGTGTTTAGAATGATTTCGATCCGGGAAGGCACTTGAACCTCTTCAGGTAGAATTGACGAGTGTCTGAATAAAATTTATATAATTTCCTGGTAAGATTACTTATAAGTTCTCTTAATTATTTTCTCATCATTCTAATTTTTTTATGCAAATTGTGCCAAAGTGTGTATTACCGCTCTAATGGCACACCACACTTTGCTTTCCAATACCTATTTATTTTCAAATTGTAAGTTTAATGGTACTCACTTGTGGCAAATGTAAGCTTGATTTATAATTATGTATGCCAGTTTAGCTCAGTAAGTATAGTAACGACTTGTATAAATTCTTACAAACATAGTTTCTGAATCGGAATTTGATATCTGTAATAATTTTTCAAATCACAAATAAATGTGACTTTTCAATGTAATATTAAATCTTGTGTATACAGGATATTATTAGAGCGAGAACCTGTTAAGTTTGAGTGACTACTGTGGCGTCCTCACCCTTCCTTGTCGAGTGGTGTTGTCAGTCTGAACATAACAGTCACATGTATGGGGGGAACATCTTGGTGAGAGAGACGCAAGCACGCATTATATAACATTTGTATTACCGCGCACACACGCTCCAATATTGCTTAATACGGGGCTTGTACCTGTCTCGCCTACACGTTCCCTCGCAGAAATGTTGCTGAGAATGGCGACCACGTGGGTGCTAGACAGAGGGACGGGAAGCCAGGTATACCAGGTGTAATGGTCATAACACCTGGTCATGAGATGTGTAACCAATCACAAACAGTATTGATCTGAAGTTCAGGAGATGCACTC